TCCCCGGTTGTAATAAACTGTACCAAAATTTTGATATCAAATCATCACATGCAGAAAAATCGTTTTAAAATAGACTGACCCTTTATGTTCTCTTGTAATAATTTTTATTCAGAGTGTCTGCTTGCAAATATTTATCCGCTCATTTGTTTTATTGTTTAGCTGTATTATGTAATGGATTTTGCTGAGAGCTGCTGTTGTCGTCTATGAAATAGAAATTAGATTCACATCTTTGATTGGGTTACATTCAGTTTTGCTATGTAACAATTGGATGACTCAATTTATGGAGTCATCTACAGTTATTCACAAACAATGTGTTGACACGTGTCCTACAATAAATACACTTTAGACAAGTGTCAATACGTTCAGTGATCGATGACTCAATAAAAAAATCATTCGATAGTTCCATAAAATTTTTGGAATTCCATATTCAAATAAACCTCATATAGTGGCATGAAAGTGGGTGTTTTAGTTATGGGCCTAGCAAAAAGGAAATTTGGAATATATGGAGTTCAAATTGCAAGAAAACAGTACACCTGATATTTATTTTATATAATAATTGTTTTTGGTATAATAATCATGTGCTTTAATGGTATGAATACAATTATAATTTGTGAAACGTAGAAGTATGCATGGACTTTAAACATTTTTTCTTTTTTTTTTTGGGTTTTTATATATACGAATAGTGTATTATATGGTACTTGTTAAAAAAAATTATATTTAAAATTTAATAATAATAACAATAAAAATTACTTTAATTTTCAAATATATATTTTTAAAAAATATACTATTATTTATATTTAAAATGACACACGTCATTTACAGGACTTATTATCTTATATTACAATTTTTTTTTAATTTATATGAGACCTACTTTGTAGTTAAATCACTTTAAATAATTTTATTTTTTTGAACTGATATAAATAGGTAATTTGATTTTAAATATCAAGATAAATAAATTGTTTATATAGTTTGTACAATACAAGAAAAAGATGATATTCCAACGGAAATATATTTCAATAGAACTATTCCAATGGAAATTTCAATGTTATTATATTCGTTGGAATTTTTCAATTGATTCCAACGAAAATTCCAACAGAAAAATTTCGCTGGAATGAGTTTTCTATTGAAATTTCCGTTGGTTTGACGATTCCAACAGTAGATTTTCCAACGGGGTCGAAAATAAAATTTCAATGGAAATTCCTATGGTAAAAAATCGTTGGAAATATAGTTGTTGGCAGGGCCGTCTCCAGAAATTCGGAGGCCCTAGGCAAGTTTTTTCTTTTCGAATTTTCTCGATTTGAACTTACGTGGTACTTAGAGCTATTCGCAGATAGAATCATAAATTTTAACGAGACTATTAAATAAATAAATAAATAATTGAAAAAAAAATCTTGTTTTTCTTGAATTTGGAATTGATAAATTACCTCCGGGCTACAAAAATCTTTAATAAATTACAATTAACCAATCATGAGGACACTAAAGACAAGAAAATAAAAATTATATCACTACAAAGTATATTTATTTTCACACAACTTGTTCTGACCGAACATCGTACGAAAACAAATGAAATATTTAGGGCCTCAATTTTCCACAAAAACTACATATTTTGCCATTAGCTCCTTCATTTGTGTAATGATTTAAGTCCATATTTAGCCATTAACCCCTTCTTTTGTAAATATTGTATAAATAGACAAAATCCAACACAAATACATAATATTAAAAAAATAGTGAGGCTTCATTTATGTAGATAGACAAAATTCAACACAAATACATAATATTAAAAAAAAAAATATGAGGCCCCAAATAAAAGGGAGGCCCTAGGCCCATGCCTAGGTTGCCTCCCCCCTAAAGCCGGCCCTGGTTGTTGGAATCATCAAATTTCATCTAAAATTCAAATGAAAAACACATTCCAACGGAATATTTCCGTTGAAATCATTCCAACGGAAGCTATACCATTG